ATTCTTGATTGATGAAGACCATCATCGGAGAGATCAGTTGCTATCATTGGCAACTTACCGAGACACCTACATCACCATAACAACGCATGCATTACTCCTGGAAGTATTTGCCATGTGTCTGCGGATGACGTCACCCTCAAGAACGCCTTGTGTAACATCTGACCTCATCCATGCCCTCCTTCAGTCATTTTGCTCTGACCGGAAAGAAAGCAACGCGTACACACCAGATCATGCGGACGCGACGCTTGTTCAGACATCCCCGCTGGGGAAATGGCAGTTGGAAAAGAAGTCGTCTACGGCCAAAGGAAAAAGAAGCATCCGACACCCCGACTCCACTTCTTAGCAGGAAGAGAATACGAAGACAACTGCCGCTCCTCAAATCTTATTCAGCATATGACGCAAAAGCAGCGCGATTGCATGGAAAAGTCATTGCGGTCATGACTTCTACACTCGCGAGAAGGTCTTTTCTCTGTCCTGACCGGCCCGACGAGCTTACCACTACCGACTCATGCCTACTGTACCCGCAAGGGCGCGAAAACCTGCCACGCCACCTTCATTAGTCGCCCTATGAAAAGATCGGTCTCTGCTACGTCTCCTCGTTCCGATCGCACGACATGCTTGCTGCCCAGCAAATCATGAATCAGATCGCTAACGAAGTGCCCCCAGGAAAACGGGTACCTCTTCCGACTCTTCGAGCACTCCGGGAGTCTCCGACACTAGCGCCTTGGCGCACGACGCTTTCAAAAAAGGCTTGATGTCAAATAATGGCTCCACGGCTCGTCCTACCGCAATAGCAGGAAGCACTGACCCAATGCCAACAACATGCGGAAGATTCCTTGAGGCCTTCCACCACCTAAACATGTCAGATATGCGGCCTGCAATTTAGCGTTCGAGCAGAAGAGAAGGCCTTCCTACCGTCAGAAGTATCCACAGTATTCGCAGGTGAGATATTGACGCAACGAGCGAAGAATCCTAAACCCGATATCATCTAGCGACTAGGTCTCCAAGGCCGCACAGAAAGCAAGACTAACTCCTATCCAGGGAGTACATGACGTTTTCGCCTTGAATTATTGACAGGCACATGCCAGGGCTCGATCCGAACGTCACCAGACTTGCATCCGTCTCAATATTAAGCGGATGTCAAACAGCTCAAACAAACAACAAAGACGCGTTTCCTGTCCGCAACCCCCATGATGGAGGCAATTTGAAGCTGAAACGGTAAAAAGCTCATCGATCTCGGCGATCATCCGCAGAAGAAACAACATCCAGAATGGCTGCCCAAGTATTGTCCCGTCCTTAAGAGAACGGAAGATCCGGCATATGCAGATTGACTCCAGAGACCTCCAACACTGGCATGCCCATGAGCCCCGATTAGTCTAAACCCAAAAGATGACTTTCCTCTCCCCCATCCGACGGATCTGATCGAGTTGACAGATACGGTCCTCTGGTGTTTCGGCAGGATGTCTTTTATGGACGGTTTGTCTGCGGTTATAACCAGATAATGACGCATCGCGCATCGATGAAAAGCAACACCGCATATCATGAAACGCCCCTCCGGGTAGTCTTCTGTTACACGAGTTATGCCTTCGGCTTACAAGAACGCAGGTGCTTACATATCAACGACTATGTCAAGATCTTTCAGGGATCATCTCCCGAAAAGGACTGTTTGAATGCCTAGTCAGATGACTTCTGGACATCCTCTTTTCCTTTTCATTGTAACGATTGAAGTTGTAATGAATGCAGCAATGAATACAGCAACTTTTTCCGCAAACATAAGCTAATCGAGTACTAATCTAATAATTTTTTGAGAATCTATTTTGTGCATTGAAGAATTAAGCAAAAAATCAGATCAATTCTGTAAGAAAGATAATCGAGTACTAATCTAATAATCTTTATTATCAAAATGTATTCATCATTATACAACACAGCAAAAACATTGAGTTACAAAGTGAGCAACAACAAATAATAATAATTATATCTCTCATCATTAACAAGCATCAAGGCACAAATCCATTTCTTGTTCAAAAAAAATCCATTGCCACTGTCCTTCAGAGCACAGATCTGATCCTCTCCCATAGCAAACATCACAGTCACAACCAGACCCTTCCCATCAGCAAACTCATCCTTGATCTGCAACCAAAAATAAAAAAAGCCAAAAAGTTAATATAAAGAAATTGGATATAGTTATAAAAAATAAGTCCATACTCACGCAAGCCTATAGTTACTTGAATTGTATAAACTTCCTACTGGTAATAAATATAAGAAACAAGTAATATGTAGTCGTCGTTTCATTCGAAACATGTATCCTTTCATTGTGAGTAAATGTTTTTGTTTATTTTACAAATAGACACCATCAGGAGTGTACGGATTATTTGTGAAATGTTCAACATAAATTTCATTCAATCCTCAAAAATTAAACATGTTGTTTCTCTTGGTTGTTCCTGGTCATGGAACTTTAGAAGACAGAAATGTAGATATCAAAGAATTAAGAAATCAAAAGTATAACATTGTTCAGTCTAAAATTTGAAATTAGGCAAGCCAGCTGAAACGGTCTAAAATTTGAAATATGACACCATCAGGCACATAATTAGAAGGAAACCAATGATTGTCATCTAACCTGAAGCAATGAATTTTGACCAAACTCAAGCTTCCAGTTCAAAGCTCTATAGTAAGAGCTGAAAAATTATCATCCATATTGTTCTAACACCCCACATTGTTCAAACACCCTTACCTCATCAGTTCCAGGAACTAATTGTCAAATAATACAAAAGACCAAACTCTTCGCTTGCAACTGAAGAAAAAATTGAAACCTCTTACACACCTATCTGCAAATATTAGAAGAATCAGTCATTAGTATATCTGCACATCCCTCTATATCATATATCATTACATTGTACAATTACAGGTCATATTCTCTCTAGAGTAACAATGTATCGATATACTATAGGTCATATATTTGCAAATAATAAGCAATCAATATCTAAAGAACCAAATTCAAGAAGATAAAATTTCAACAAATGCCGTACCTATCGACAGCAATTGTCTGAACCGAGTCGTCGCCTCGAGCTGCACCATCGGATCCTTCGAATAAACTCCCGCCATCATCACCGGCAAGCTCTCCAACTGAATGCATAGCCAAAGAAATCATCTTGGATATTCTCCAAACAAACAAAAATCATCTTGGATTCTAAACAAACAGAGGCCAAAAACATACAAAATGAACATTGAATATTCTCCAAACAAAATTTTGGTTCCACATATTCTAGCTATTAAAGCGTACACTACTGTCCAAGTGTGTCCAATGGCAATGTTAATGAAAAATTCATTTCATACCTCATACTAAACTAAAACTCACATTACAATAGAAACTACTTGTTTGCGGAGAAAATTATTGTATTCATTGCTGTATTCATTACAACTTCAATCGTTACAATGAAACAAAAAAAGATTGCCTTTTTATAAGACTCTTACACAATGAAAACAAAAAAAGTTACAACTCTCGTCCAAACAAACGCAGAGATCGTTTATCGGTCTTCTGCTTGCGTGGGTCTTTGGCCTGTGACGGGGACGTCAATATCCGTGGACTACCTGGCACTCAGATCTGTTCTGAAAAATCGGACAGAGCTTCGTTGATCCGCGTGAGATCTAGAAGCCTGAAGCGTCTATCTCAGCTAAAACGAGATATCTGCTCTTCTTAGTGATTACCGGCGAAGGGTAATACTAAGGAAAAGGGGGGACGGGTGATGAAGATTCTGATGAAGACCTCTCCTCTCCTTGTTGAAGCGCTCGACCACTCTTCACTGCAGCAGGGCTTCGCCAATCTTCTCCAAAAATCTAGCTCTTCAAAAAATGAGGCCTTAGGGGGCTATTTATAGGCAAATGGGAGCACCTAGGGTGCCTAGACACCCCTGGGGTGTCTAGGCTTTTCCTAGACACCCCTGGGGTGTTTCAACTTTCCCGAGACACCCCGGGTGTCCCAACTCAGCCTGAGATGATCCGTTGCGTATGTTTGATTGTTTTCCCCGTAAATTCTTCGTCCGAACTCGGATTTGAGTGATTCCAAGTGCGTTGGAAGCTTGACGAAGAGTTCTATCTGCTCCAATGGTTGGATTATCTGTAGAATGAACGAGACTCGAAGGGCATTGTCCTTTTTGTGAACATCGCCGGGTTCCCGATTGGCCCGGGTCTTCGTTGTCCCAAAATCCTATCAGCTCACGTAGTTCGTCGATTCACTTCAATCGTTCATCGACGTCAATTGAACTCCTGTGGATCGGATAGTGACGTTCATCGTCGCTCTTTAACACTGAACCGTTTGTGGAGACCTATAGGCAATTTTCGATGCCTACAGATACCCCCTCCAAAGCGTTCCGGACTCGTTTCTTTTATAGAAGAGGCTGGAATACTTTGGATGTGATTGGTCTAGCCTTCAGTCGGCGTAAGGAGCTGTAGTTAGCTTCAACTCTTGGCTCCTTCGATTTTCGGTCTATTCGATGCTTTGACGAATAGCCGAAGTTCTTCCGGCGCTGCGTTTATCGCTTGGCCGTCGTCGGAGTCTCGAGTTTGTAGCTGATGGATTGGTGTGGATTTTCATCCTCGAACGTTGACTTTTGTTGCAACGCATTGACTGGCGTTGACCTAGGGTTACGCGTTGACCGGCGTTGACCCTAGGGTTTTGAATCGTCAAACGTTGACTTGTGTTGCAACGCATTGACTGGCGTTGACCTAGGGTTACGCGTTGACCGACGTTGACCCTTAGGGTTTCGAATCGTCGAACATTGACTTATGTTGCAACGCGTTGACTGGCGTTGACCTAGGGTTACGCGTTGACCGGCGTTGACCCTAGGGTTTTGGATCGTCAAACGTTGACTTTGGTTGCAACGCGTTGACTGGCGTTGACCTAGGGTTACGCATTGACCGGCGTTAACCCTAGGGTTTCGAACGTCGTACGTTAAGAGCAACTGTAGAAGTATATGGAGATGAATATCTGAGGACTCCCAATGTCGACGATGTTGCAAGGTTATTGCAAAAGGGCGAAGAAAGAGGTTTTCCAGGAATGTTAGGAAGTCTAGACTGTATGCATTGGCAATGGAAAAATTGTCCAACAGCATGGGCAGGACAATACTCAGGTCGTCATGGAGGTCCAACCATTATTCTTGAGGCAGTAGCATCATATGATCTATGGATATGGCATGCATACTTTGGCTTACCAGGATCCAATAACGATATTAATGTATTGCAGTCGTCTAATTTGTTCGACAATCTATCACAAGGTATTGCTCCTCCTGCTCATTACACAATTCAAGGAAAAAATTATGATGTCGGTTATTATTTGGCCGATGGCATATATCCGAAATGGCCAACACTTGTTCAAACCATTTCTAATTCCGATGATAAAAAGAAACAATATTTTGCAATGATGCAAGAAGCATGTCGAAAAGATGTTGAGCGGGCATTCGGTGTTCTCCAATCACGATTTGCTATCATCAAGGGGCCAGCCCGTTTTTGGGATAAACGAACTCTGCATGATATCATGACTGCTTGTATTATAATGCACAATATGATTGTCGAAGATGAACGCGACGAGCAAGAAGATGTTGTCATTTCAACTCCACAATCAATTCCGAATGCTGAAAATATGGAGATAACCGAAACTGAACGATTCCAACGGTTTCTTGCTCGACATAAGAGGTTGAAAAACAAAGAAGCTCATTTTGCACTTCGAAATGCATTGATTGAACATTTGTGGGAAAGACATGGAAATGAAGCTATGTAATTTTTTTTACTAATAAAATAATGACTTTTTCAATTTTAATTACTTGGTTCTTGAAATTTTATATTTCAATTAATATTATTCAATATTAGTCTCATTTTGAAGGTATCGACAAAACATTTCCAACTGTAAAATTTTTATTTAAAAATAATTAGTAGAAATAAACTTATGTTGATTTTAAGTTGAATATCTAAAAATAATTAGTTAGTTAGAAGGGTATTATTGTAAATTTTTAGGGGGAATAGTGGTTTGGAGGGGGGCTGCATATTTGGAGCAAAATCTCCAAATATGCAGCCGAAGGTGAGTTTTTCCAGCCGGACTCCAAAAATTGGAGTCCGGTTGGAGCTCCATGGGGCTGCAAATTGGAGTTTTGCAGCCCCATTGGAGTTGCTCTAAATAAGTCCTATTTAGCTTTAAAAAACGATGCAGAATAAAATTTTCCCGGAAAAAGAAAGCACGATAACACCAAACTCCACCTACGATCCGTAGACGCCCTGCCACGTACATCTCTTCCCTTCCTCTCCTCTCCAAATTTCAAAATTCAAACGCAAACTTTTCCCGCCAATTCTCTCTCCCCAAATCCCAACCAAAATCCCCAGATTGCCCGTTATTCTCGCCCCCTCTCCCCTCAATCACGCCGAATAAAACCTTCCGTCACCTTCCTCGAATCAAAACCCTAAACCCTAGAGTTCCAGAAATGTCCACTCGTCTCAAAGAACGAGGGGCGCCGGCGCAAGTGATGCCGCCAACAGAAAACCCTAACCGACGATACCCCGAAGATCAAAGCGATCAATCGAAAGACTCCGATCGCCAACGGGAAGGAGAACCCTAGAGCTTCCTCCGCCCCTCGCAGGAATCCTGCGGCCGTTCCCGCCGTCCGATGGTCCACGTCGTCGCTTCTAAGAGGCAAGTCCCTGAACCCCTCGGATCTAAACCCCAGAGCTTCAGGATCGCTGGAGACTAAAGATGTGGGTCCTAAAGTCCGGGTTTTGGATAAGAAGGGGAAAGATGCGAATTTGAAACCTAACTTGTTGAGGAGGGCTAGCTTGGATGTTGATTTGCGGAAACCTGGTGGAAAAGATTCTAGGGTTTCAAAAGAAATTGCTCCCAAATCCATCGTGGAGCTTAGTAAAGGCAATGCTTTAGTTGCGAATTCCAAATCTTCTGAGTTGAATAATTGTGATGCTGTTCGGGTTTCAAAAGAATTGGCTGCTAAATCCGCCGTGAACAAACGTAAAGGTGATGCTTTAGTTGCAGATTCCAAATCCTCTGATCTGAAAGCTTGTGATGTTATTAGAGCTCCCGATGATATAAACAAAGCGAATGCATCTGATAAACCCATCAGTGATGTTATTAAGTTAGATGAGATTACTGGAAATAGTATTAGAGAAGAAAAAAGTTGCATCAAAGTTTTTGAGAATTCCAGTGAGAATGGTGTTCGAGCTGTTAACAAATATCCAAGCAAGCTTCATGAAAAGCTTGCTGCATTAGAGGGAAGAGTCCAAAGAATTGCTTCTGACATCAAAAGGACCAAAGAGATGTTGGATTCAAATAATAATCAGAAAGAATCAAAGTTGATCCTTTCTGATATTCAGAAGAAGATATCCGGAATTGAGAATGCAGTGAGTAGTGTAGTGGATGGTGATGGAAGTGAGTTGGGTCTTCGTGAAATTATAAAAGATAACAGCTTGCAAGGTGAAAAAGTGAATGTCCAAAATTCGAATGGTAAGGGATTGAAACTTGAGGAGTTGGAAGCAAGGTTTTTCCCTCATCAGAAACTAATTAAGAACAGAATGGCGTTGGATGGTAAATCTGACTTGTGTAAGCCTAAAGGTCCTATGAGCCCTATTGATGAAAACCCTATTGCACTAGAGTTCTTAGCTTCTCTAAACACAGATCAAGCAGACTTCAAAAAAGATTGCAGAGTTTTAAAGGCAGAATTGAGCGGGATTCGTGAAATGGGCGTGGAAAGCACTGCTTCGGGGGCTAATTTTGAATCGAAGAAGGTGGCCAGTCTGCAATGCAGTGAGGTTGCACTAATTGCAACCGAAAAGATTGATGATTTAGATGATCAAGAAACCAAGCCAGGGATTATGGTGTTTGAAGATGCAGAGGATTCTTTTAAAACTCAGATATTCGAAATTGGTCACAAATCCTCAACTGGAGGATGGTTTGTTTCTGAGGGGGAAGCTGTTCTTTTAACTCACAATGATGGCTCGTGTTCGTATTATGACATTGCGAATTCTGAGGTATGAAATCTACATTCTGTCATTTTTTGCTTCCCAAAGCCAGACGTTGGGAAACTACCTGAATGTGTTGTTAGTCTTTCTTCTTCTTCTCTTTGAGAGTACTCCTTAGTCCTTAATGCTTATGATCATCTATACTATGGTGCAATGCATTTCCTATCTAATATAAATAATTTTGCTTATAGGGTTTTATATGTACATGCATTCACGTGTTTATATAAAACATAGATAATGCAACTTACATGATGTTATATTGATTAGACATGAACTTGGATCATCATGTGCTGTTAAAGGAGAAAGGTACAGTGTGAAACACAGTTAAGTTAAAATTAAAACCTACTTCCTAGTCCTACGTTGGCCTTTTTCCATCTATTACGGGCTCTCTAGATTCTGAGAAGTTTCTGAAATCATCCTCCATCTTATACGAAACCAACCGACTTTTTATATCCTGTCGTTATCAATTAAATGTTTTTCTAGATCAATTACAATGATACATGTTCCTAAGCCTCCTTGACAAACATCAACTGTTGTTTAGCTATTGCAACTGTCTGTTAGTCAGTCCTATCATTCATTAAACGTTGAGGATAAATAATGACACTTGCTGAAGCTTACCAAGGCTACTACATAACAGCCAATTATATACGCACATCAAATGAAAAGAAGAAAGGACCATGTAGATTAGAGATCTACATTTTATCCAGGTTTTATGCCTATTATTTTGCATATTTAAGCATGTCCTAGTTGTTTTGTGGGTTAATTGTGTATCTGCATCATTATATATATCAGGAGAAGGCAGAGTACCAACCCCCAGAAAGTGCGTCCAGTAACTTGTGGGGTGATTGCTGGTTAATTCGCACCACTGGTTCTGATGGATGCTCTGGGAGGTTTGTCGTGGCAGCATCAGCTGGGAATAATTTGGAATCTGGCTTCTGTTCGTGGGATTTCTACACAAAAAAGATTAAAGCATTTCACGTCGAGGACGAAAACTCAAATTCCTTCTCAATTTCATCATCTAGGACTGCACTCGCTCCTCTAACTAATACAGGAAGAAGAAGTGTTTCATGCACAATGCAACCTGTGGAAAGACAATGGTGGTATAAACCATGTGGGCCACTCTTGATCTCTACTGCCAGCAGTCAGACTAAAGTTAGTGCTTACGATATTCGCGATGGGGAACTTATAATGAAATGGGATGTAAATAGTCCAGTGGTAGGGATGGAATACTCGAGCCCTCTGCAGTGGAGAAGTAGAGGGAAGGTGATTGTGGCAGAAACTGAAGCAGTTAGTCTTTGGGATGTTAATTCTCTAACTCCACAACCTTTGCTGACTGTCAATTCCTCTGGTAAAAAGATTCACTGCCTTCATGTGAACAATACTGATGCTGAAATTGGGGGAGGGGTTCGCCAAAGGTGAGAAGAAATTTATTTGATTATTTAATTTAGATTGCCTTACCTTATTGTTCTTCTTTGGCTTTTAAATTATAGCATGAAGAAATCTATTATATGCCATCTGTCTAACCTCACTCCTAAGTTTCCTCTCCATGAGTAGTTGATTCCATGCTAACCGATATTTAAATAGTTTCTACACAGAAAAGTTAATTTTTACTGAAATTTCCCTCAGTTTCCTGGTAAGTTTGATGTTTTATTCTGGTGTTCTGGAGGAGCTGCGTGTTTATTATGTAGCTCATGGCACAATCCCTAAAATATGTTTTAATGTTTTATTCTTGGCTTCTATGCATTTGCAACGTGCTTGCCTCTTATGTATCTGGGTATTGCTCATAACTTATGGCATCAATCTTCACTTGATACTGCTAATAAGATTAATGTCAATCAAGGATGTAGATGAATAAGATAATCTGACCCAAATCAGTTTCTTATCCATATTCTTTACATATATGGGTATCCAACGTCTTCCACTTAAATACACATGAATATACTTATATTGAAAGTATCTGAGATATTTGAATAAGCAAATACATTTCCAATAATCCTACACACACAGAGAGACACATACTTTGGTCACACCCATTGGTGAGTATTGATTGAAATCTATTCAACATTACAGTATGCCACATCATGATCAATACCAAGGTATTTTGACGCTTGACATACTTTGTCACTTTAAGATAAGAAGGGATCAAAATTCTTTCTGATCAATCCAGGATACTGTTAAATATCTGAGTATAATCTCTGCAACAAAACAAATACGAATAATAACTGTGATGCCTATGTCAGCTCTTTACAGCTTTGGTGCCAATTTTGTCTAACTTCTGTGGAAGAGATACATGCGCGTCCAAGTTTGTCAAAGAACTGTTTTTTTTTGCTGATCCATTGGTTTGAGAAAAGTTGCATCATGGTTTTTCTTTTTTTTAAGGATCAGGCATAAAGTAGCGCCCTTCCGAGATTTGAACCATGATCTCCTTTGGCAATGAGCTAAACAGTGGTAATAAGTTGAAGGGTTTGCTACCAAGTATGATATTACATTTGTACAAACAGTAAAGAATAGTCAAAATAAACAGTGAAACATGTACTATTATAGTTTATGTTTGCAAATCTCCTGTAAACTTAAACCATGGACAAGCTGCAGCATTCATGATTCACGAATCAAATAGTATGGGTGAATGCTAGTCATCAATTGAGAAAATGGGAATAGGAAACAAAAGTTTTACAAATTTATTGTTCTACAATTCTCGTTTCCTTTTGAATTACAGAGCTCGTTCATCAGAAGTGGAAGGAAACGATGGCGTCTTCTGCACCCAAGAAAGCATTAATGTCTTTGATCTCCGTCTCCCTTCTGGAGTTGGTCTTAAGATATCGAAACATGGAGCTAACGCACACTCAATCTATTCCTACGGAGACTCCATATTTATGGGAAACACAGAAAGAAGATCATCAGCAAGAAACAGATCTCAATCTAATGTGCAACAATTCTCATTGCGCAAAGGAAAGCTCATGGCTACGTATGTACTTCAAGATTCTGAATCTCACGCCCATCATTCTTCAATAACTCAAGTATGGGGAAACTCAAACTTTGTCATGGGAATAAATGGTATGGGGTTATCAGTTTTTGATGCTTACAAGGATGGCACTATGCAGTCTTTCGGCATGAATGACGGAAGTATTATTGAGGTTAAAGAGACGATTGGTCCAGATGACTTGTATTGCCCTACTTTTGATTATTTGGGATCAAGGGCTCTGGTTATTTCTCGAGATCGTCCTGCAATGTGGAGGTACTTGTTATAGTTACTTGTGTATGAGGTATAAGTTATTAGTGTATCTGTGTGTTATCCTAGTGAGAATGTATTTGCGTTTTGTCTTTGTTCGGTAAGAAACTTGTTACTGAAGAGGAATGAAGATGTTTCTGTTTGCAAAAGATGTTACTGTCTGCTTGATGCTCATTTCTGGGGGGAAAACACCTAATTTTTTTTTTCCTCTTATCATTTTGTTGTGGAGGACTGAGAGCACCCCAGATAATTTACTTAGAATGGATGCTAACAGCAAAATATGCTTAATTCTTTTATTTCATGTGTACATTGTTTTAGCCAAAAGCCAGAAAAGATTTCAGAGTCTTGAATGTCAACGGCAAATGGATGGAAATGATGATGTTTTCTTTCTTCCTTACAAGTGATTAACATGAATTACATACATAAGCATTGTTGTTTTGTGATTAATGATAGTTGATGGTAACTTAATGGAGATTAACATCCAACAATAGAAAGGCCTGCGAGTCTCTGTTAGTTCAATACTATACACCCAAATCTTCGTGTTTCTAAATTACAACCCGCAAGTTGTTTTAAATAATACCCTCGTATTTTTTTAATTTACACTGGCAAACCTGTTAACCGGGGTGCAAATAGGCAATTTCACAAGCCACCCCTAGTTTTTTGGGGGGGTTTTGCCCATGACCATGAACTTCTTTTCATTCCACAAAACCCCCCTACACTTTGAAGGTGTCTAAAGAAACTCCTGAGACCTACCTGGCAAATAACTAAGAGGTGCTTAAGGGTAACTAAGAAAAAGAAAACACTTATAAGGGCGCTGCTACAGGGACCCCAAATAGAGGATCCAACGGGGGGACAGGTGAGGTGCCCACTTGGTTGCGTGATGCACTGTTCATAATGGGGAGAGGGCGTCTTGTATTGTGGCGTACTTGAAATGATGCTTGTAGCATTATTCTCACAATGGCTCTTTGATATTGGTGTTATAAATTAGTTATGAATTTTGAAAAATCTTGGATATTGTACAAATCTGGAATGTCCCAACAATAATATCAGATTGTTTGGCCTTAATTAAATGTTTTAAATCTGAAACGTCCCAAGAAAAAAATATCAGATTGTTTGGCCTTAATTAAATAAAAGTTTTAAATGAGCGAGATATTGATGCCATATTTTTTAGGTAGGAGAGGCTAGTGGTACCAACTAATTAGCTACAGTTGAGAGCACTCAATTGAATGTTGTGGAGTTGCATTAGTTAGATTCATCACTAAGAAAAATCAATGGACATTGATTTACAATAAACATAAATATCACTAGTGTCTGCATATTTGCCAGTTGGACTGGACGGTGAAAAAGAGAAATAAATAAATAAATAAATAAATAAATAAATAAATAAATAAATAAATAAATAAATCTTATTAAATATATCCATGAATCTAACTTATACATGACATGTGCATGTGTAGCATCATATTTAAACATATGTGCCCACAAATGACGGAGACGTTAAACATTTAACGCATAAGATGAATTGCAAACATATGAATGATGGGAAACACATACGGTAGATGTACATATATTTTGGAGGAAAGTAGGTGCACATTTTACTAAGGAATATTTATAAATAATAATTAAATAATGACGACCGGAGTGGCCATTTGGGCCGGCTCCGGATTTTCCGGTGCGGGAAATACTTTTTAATGGACGCGATCTAATGCTGACGTGGAGAGTTAAAAGGAGAAAAATCATTGAATCAATGCATTAATGTATCGGTTTTTTTTATAGAGTGCCCATGAGCACTCTATAAGAGAGGAGAGAGATAGAGAGAAATGAATAGCCATGGGCCCTCTCTGATTTGCATTAATTTCTGTGCATAATTCATTTCTCTCTATCTCTCTCCTCTCTTATAGAGTGCCCATGAGCACTCTATAGAAAAACCGTTAATGTATTAGTGTAAACTAATTTTATTTTTGCACTGCTCTAAGATTGCCCTCTTCCTTTGACATGCTACGTGTCAGGTGTACCACGTGACACGTCTACGGTGTTTTATATGGTTCGAACTAGATTGGATTTTTAGATAGATGCTAAGGTCTTATTATTTCTATTGGATTGAGCTTTTCATTGAAATCAATTTTTTTTAAATTCGCAGTCGATGGGAACTAAGCCTAGGTTGTTTTGATACCATGCCAAAAGCTTTTGTCACTACATCAAATTTCGAAAGGCACGGTGAAAGCTATAGTTTTATAAACGGTTGGTTAATCGAGAACAAATTTCCTTGGTATCACCCAATTGTAAATAGACCCTATGTAGTTCTTATTTTGCGAACATACCCCAAGTTAATTTTTTGCGTACTCTTAAAGTCATTAAAAGGATTTGAAGAGGCGGGTAGACCCCCCTATACTTCTATTGGTGAGGATAGACCCTCAATTATTAGCAGCTGGGTGATGTCAAGGGAGTCTGTTCGCAATGAACCCTTTTACAAATAACAGTTTTGACCTATGTTACCCGGGTACTTCATTGTTGAAGCCGTACCCGTACCGGACACGTACCCGACACTTTCCCGTACCCAAACTTCATGGACACTTCTTGAATATATGCATGCATTTATTACAACATGTACTCAATTATACGATATATGTGTTAATTTAAAACACTTGTCAAAGACTTCCTGAACGTAGAGCTTACACTTTACATCCGTTTTTTGAAACTAATGGGATACGGGTCGGGTTCGTTTCAGTCCATACCCAAGTTCAAAACTATATAGTTAACATGTTGTTTAGATGTCTAGTAAAAAATGAGTAGTTTACAATTCACGATAATCAATATGATAAAATAAACTAAAAAATGTGATCGAAATTTTAAATCTAATGACACATGAAGCAGAAAAAATTTATCTCATGTACATTATTAATTCAATATATATATGTAGTTTGAACCCGTACCCAACATTTTACAGCTTTGTCGTGTCCCCTACTCGTACGGTGGTACCCGTACCAGTACCAATTTTCATGCAACTTAGATTTAGGTAATAATATTAGTTCTAAATTTTTAATTAAAGTAAAAATAGCTTTCTATTCTATTTCCTATGCAAGGAATATAGTTTTAACTTATGAAATATTGATCTAAAGTGAATTATTTTATATATATATAGCCGTGTCCCCGTACCCTACTTTTTACAAATTTACCGTATCCCGTACCCGTACCCGCATCCGTACCCGTACCTAGGCAACATAGGTTTTGACAAAAGATGGCAAATTCTCCCCTAATTATGAGCATGATCCAAGAAATCTTTAGTGAGAATGGGGGAGAGCATGGAAGAGCATGCTCAATTAGTGTCAGTCAGTTTTGATGCTACACGTGTGCATTCCCATTGAATTGTCAATTGAGCTCTCATTATAAACTGTGCCTCTCTGACTCCGTAAAAATTCAAACCTCAGGATTTATTGGTTCCCAACTGCGATAAGCTTCTCACCATCCATCCAAGCGTCTTATTTATTGATGGGACTTCAGCAGTTCAACTGAAACAACCGGCAACTGAATGAGCAATAAATTTTGGGGTGACACTACGGGCACACCTTCAGGGACATTTTTCCACACTTCCGGTGTACTGTAGCAAAAAGAGAGAGTGTGGCACAAGGTTTGCATGAGGGTGTGTCTGTACCATTTTCCATAAATTTGCTCTATATTGGGTGCGTGCAGAGGGTACTCGGCTCCTCCTTTCTTTTACACAAATTAATAAAAAATAAAAAATAAAAAATAAAAAATATATAAGAGTATTATGGAGATTCCTCTATAAGGAAATTTATGTTGGGACGTATAGGATGAGGAGACCTGTTCTCTCTGGAATCTATGGAAATCCTCTCTATTACTTTAGAATAGTGATTAATAGAGACTGACTATACTGATAACTGATAGTAATTGGTGTATTAAATATCTATATTAATATAACTGTCTTTATATCTTATATGATATTTTTCATGGAGGCCTGTACAGTTTTTTTCCCCATTTTCTTTTGCACCCACCTCATATAGTCATATTGAACCTTCAAATTTAGACGTAATATTCTAAAATTAGACTCTTTATATTATTTATATTTGAAACAATGATCTTCTGATCCCAAAAAAAAAAAAAAATTAAAATAAAAAAAAAATAATGATATAATTTCAAATAACTTATTGGGATAAACATTCAAATAAAAAATTTGTCCAACTTCTATAAACATATTAGTTTTTTGTGACTAGAAAATGGTTTCATAGTTGTATTTGAATATTTGTTTCCAATACGAAAGGTATAGTGTGCAGGTATCTATGGATAGGGATATGACACACATATCTATAAAGAAGGATAGAATTTGGACCCAAAAAGGATAATTTCATAAATAATAATTTGTATGCAAATATGCTACACAATGCAATTACATGTATACCATCAATTATTTTTGTGAAATTTTCATAAAACTTGAGCCAGTCTAATTAATTTGAAGATTCTATTACTTAAACGTAGCTTCTCTTTTACATAGGATCATTTTAGGACAGTAGAGATCAATATCATATATAACTACTCTTGTAGAAGCGAGATGATAAGAGAGTTGTAATTTTCAAACTAACCTTCTAACCAACTGTGAATGGTGCAGATCACTTTTTTCTATGGAGTGTTCTGATAGAATCCTTACTTATTTCAGGAGATGATACCCGGAAGACATTGACTATGGATGTACACCTAATTAATATTGCTTTTAGCTATATCCTACTTTTCTCAATGTCATATATAATATAGTCCAAATTGCCATCCTTTTCTCTTTGAACTTAATTAAAAAGTGGCTGTATCTTCTTAAAATAGACTGAGCCCAACTTGCAACTCACTTCTAATCTACAAATCACAATTAGTTTCTCTTATCGATCTGCTCTTTCTTTTCGTGAAAAATAAAGGGAGATTGTGACGTGTAAAAAACAATCACCCTTCAATCTCTTTTTTCTTTTCATTTGCTAATAAGAAAACTCTGATGTACACTTGAATTATGTTATTATATTCTTCTAAAGACTAGTCTATGCATTACCCCTTTAGACTTTGGTCTGGTCATTTAAATTTTGTTCAAATTACCCCATTATACTTTGTTCAGGTCATTTAAATTTTGTTCAATTTGTTCTTCTATCTATGGGGACGTGCTAATTATGATGAATATTGACAAATCGCTTTTAAACTACATGAACTTAGCAAGAACTATATTGTTTTTATCATTACGGAAAATTATGGTGTTTTTAAGATATACCATGCAACAGCTTGAAAGAAACTTATATGTCATGCTCATGTCCATTGAATGAATGGGGGATGTCTTCAAAGACTCAAATCATATCATATCATATCATACTTTTACTTTAAAAGTGGGAGTTCTTGAAAAACTTTCATCGGTCAATTTTACCCCTAATCCTTTTCAATATTGACATTCTTATCCAAATTATAATAGGTTATCAACTAAAGCTATTAAATTAAAATTAAACTCCTGAATTAAAGCTCTCTCCATTCAAAACTAATAAATAAAAATTGATGTAATTAGAATTGGTTGACAACTAAAGAGTATAAAGAAGCTTAAACTCCCGAATTAAAGCTCCATCCATTCAAAACCAATTAATAAATAACTGATCTAATTATAATTAGTAAACAAGTAAAGAGTAGAAAGAAGCTTAGAGCACATTAGCATTGTAAACATAATATGCATTGCGCGTGTAAATATTAACCAATTGATTGATACCAAATTATGGAATTAATTAATTATCAACAAAATTTATTTAATTAAAGTATTTTTTATAGTAGTCCCTTAAACCTTTCATATTTTGAAATTAGTCCGTCAAATCATTGAAATTATTATTAGGTAACTCAATTCTTAAGTTATTTAAAATTAGTCATTCAAATCAATGGTATAATTAGCAATTTGAGGGGCTAATTTCCCTCTAATTACTTTTTTTACTCTTGATTGGAGAAGCTGATATCAAAATAACTTAATAATTGCGGATGTAATAGCTATTTTAATGATTTGATGAATTAATTTTAATATAATAAGAATTGATCAACCTAATAGTTCAATGTGGTTATCTTTGCAAACTTATGGAGATGTTTTCTTAAATGATGATAGGTTTTCTTATTCTACAGTTATTAGGGATTAAGACAGAAGATTTTTTTTCCTTTTCTTTTTTTACTTCATAAGAATTTTATATCATCTGTTATTATTAGATTTGAGGCATTGAAGAAATTGATTGCTATATGAGCGAATAATATTTTTGAATAATGTGTAGCTTACATTGCTCATAGTTTATAAGCGAATAATATTTTCTAATAATTTGTAGCTTACATTGCTTATAATCACAAGGACACATAAACGAAAGCTGAAGGTACATAAATGTAAGTAATAAGAAAGTTCAAATATAATATTACATCATCAAGTTAAGATTTAAAAGAAACACTTTTACAACCAAGTTATACTAAAGAAATAATCCGAACAAATAACCACGTGCAATGCACGTGTATCTCTCCTAGTATCAAGAAAGAATCAAGTCAAGTGAGAATAGAATGAAGTAAGAAATGGAATAAAATTAATGCTGGAATTAAATGCTTAATTCTATTCTCATGTTAGCTGCGGATTAAAGAATGAAGTGAAGATTATATATTTTTATTTTTGGTATTGAATAAATAAGCAATCATGCATATTCAGAAGTTATTTTAATATTTAATCTGATTATGGGAATGTATTATAGAACAATAAAAAATAGTTAGCTTTTATATTAAGAAATTTTCAAAGAACGAATCTATGAACTTAGACAGGGTCCTTATATTTTGCAAATGCTTATAATATACGTAAATAAGACATTTTTACCTTTGGGTTTGGAGTGGGCCGGGTCAACTCGCGGGTTGACCCGACACAACCCGCCAAGCCCGCCATGGGTCACGATCCGGTCCGACCTATAGTAGGCTAGACCCGACCGATAATGGGCGAGGCTCGATCCGGCTCATGATATACCCGGGTCACGGGTCGAGCCGGGTTTAGCCCCAAACCTAAAGTTAGAAAAATAGGCCCGATCTGACCATTTTCGGCCCATGATATATTTTTCAGTTAGGCTAGCTCTTCCTTTAACCCTTTTAAAATACAAGTTTGATATAATTAAAAAGGTTAAAATAAGAAAAAAAGTTAGACGAAAAATCCATGGGTCGGCCCACAACCCACATGCCGTGGGTCGGGTCAGACCTGGTCCGCATCGCCGGGTCAGACCTAGCCCACATCTAAGCAGGTTGTGCGGGTGGGTCCAGTCCTAGACCCGGGACCAGAAATGTAGGCCTAGCCTAAGAGATTAAATAATATAGTCAATGAGATTTTAAGCCATTCACAATTTTAGTTAGTTAGCCAAAGAGATTAAATAATATAGTCGAAAAATAGATTAAATAATATAGTCGAAAAATTGTAATCTTGAGATGTTGTAGATATTTCTATCATAATTAAACTTTCTTAGTACACACATTAAAAAAAAGGAAAGGATACTTTAAGCCATTCACGGGATCAAGAGACACGCAAACAAATAAGACATTTTAAGCTATTCACGGAAAATATTAGGGGTAATTTGTAAATTGTAACCCTTCTAGTGAAAATCACATGGTATATGTTATTTGCTAATGATAGTATTATAGTTAATGAAGCTAGAAAAGATATTATTTCTAAATTAGAAAGATGGAGACTAACTCTTGAGTCTAAATGTTTTAGAATTAGTAGAACAAAAAAAGAATATATAGAATGTATTTTTAGTAAAAGCAGGAAAGAAAGAGAGCCTATGGTACATATTGATGGCTAAGAAGTACCTAAAACTAATCATTTTCGCTATTTATGATATATTATTAGACATGATTGTGAGATAGATGATGATGTTTGTAGGCATATAAAATTGCTTCGAATTTCCCCGCGAACAATGTTGTGTATCGAATTAAATCGAGATGGTTGAAATGAAGGAGTGATTTGAGAGTCTTATATGATCATAGAATACCAATGAAACTAAATAGAAAATTTTATAGGATGATTATAAGACCAACTATATTTCATGGGTCAGAATGTTGGGCAACTAAAAAAATAACATGTTCAAAAAATGAGTGTAACAAAAATCAGAATGTTGTGATGGTCTTGTAGGTATACATTAAAAGATCGGATAAGAAATGAGTGCATCCGTAGTAAATTAGAGATTACGTCTATTGTGGATAAAATGAGAGAGAATAGATTAAAATTGTTTGGTCATGTACAAAGGAGAACCCTTTAGTACACCGATTAGGAAAAATAATAATATTAGAGTTAATGGGGGCTAGGAGATCTAGAGGTCGACTTAGAATGACTTGGTCAGAAGCAATTACGAAGGATATGATTAAGATAAACGAAAAGGAAGAAATGACTCGTAACAGAATAAAATGAAAAAATATGATTCATGTAGCCGACCCCAAATATTTGGGATAAATGCTTAGTTGTTGTAACCGTTCTAGTGAAAAGATTTGTAAAATCCTCGTATTTTCACAATTTTCTTTATCAAAGCGGCTTGTCACAAATAGATATAAGACGAGGGCTTAAATTAAATTTTCCACAAAGAATAACAATTGAACAATTTTTCAAAATAGACCTTTTAAAATTTTTATTTTTCAAAATCGACCATGTTTTTTTTATTTACCAAAACCGACCCGTTTTTTTGATTAGCAGCCTAATCACATTCCTAAATAGTTAGGGTTGCCAACCCCGACTATTTAGGACTTAAATTTGTATGGTTTAAGGCTTCTAATTAGGGTTTAACACCCTCCTAAATAGTCGGGGTTGACAACCCCGACTATTTACGAATGTGATTAGGTTGCTAATAAAAAAAATGGGTCGGTTTTGGTAAATAAAAAAAAACAGGATCAATTTTGAAAAATAAAAATTTAAAGGGGCTGTTTTGAAAAATTGTTCAATAACAATTCTCCATCGACTATATATACGCGACGAACCAGGATCCCAAATCCCTGAAAGCTCCCAATAACGGACGCTTTACAAAGTCCGAAACTCTCTGAAATAACCCTCACAAGTTTCATATTTGCAGAAGAAGGACAGACAATAAAAGGGTGGGGCAAAAAAAATAAAATGGAAGGCCACGCTCTTCTCAGAGGAAGAAGAAGAGGAGAAGGATACAAGTACAGCCATGGGTTCTCAAGGTCACAGATGGCATCAATGGCTGCCATATGTGAAGCCCTCGTCCCCTCTCTCCCTGTGGAAGCCGTCCACGTCAGCGCCGGCAAGGGGGACCCACCAAGCAAGACCCTACAAGCCTTCTACCTCGCCTCCGCCTCTCAAGCCCCCATCCCCGATGAGGTCCATTTTTTTGTCCTCTCATTTCATTTTTACTTTATCGTGAAATTTGGAGATTTGGGTCTTTTTCTTTTTTCTTTTTTTATAATTGTTATGGTCAACTGTGGGATTAGGCCAATATTTGATGAAGTCTATATCATAAAGTTAACATTTTTTAGCATCTTTGTACTGCCTTCTAGCTTGTTTTGTTCTTTAATTTCATGTACACTTCATTTGGTGTTAAATAAGAAAATGGGTTAATTAGGCTGAACTCAGCATCGTGTTGGCACTAGCTAGATATTTATAATTTTGTCATTTTTTTATAATGTAAAATCTACGTACATTTTACAATTTGTAGAGAGTTTTCTCATCAATTGAAGGTTTCAATCACACATCATCATCCGAAATAGTAAATCCCTTTTTGTCCCGCTAAAATGGGGGATATTCACACACAAACGGTGAAGAATTTTGTATTACTTGTGAAACATGCCTCCACTTTCACCAATTATTTATTAGAAGAGTGGTCCCCCTTTTTTTTTTTGTCCAGTTTAATTATCATACTGACTAATGAGCAGAGAGTCACTTATTTTGTGATATTTATATATGACATTTTTAGCATGTTTTTACTGCCCTCTAGTTTATTTTATGATTTTTAATTCTATGGAATCTCCATTTGATGTAAATATAAAAGTGGGTCAGCATTAATTCGGCATTGGTATATATGTTTTGGTATTAGCTCAATAAAAAAAGTTTACCTTCTTTGGTTTTTTGGGAATTGGTACTAGGTAGGAGATCATACTTTTATCATTTTTTATGCTAGAATTATCTATGAACATTTTAATAGTTTGTAGAGAGTTCTTTGATCATTTGTAGTTCTATTTAATCACACATCATAAAGAGATCCATTTTGTCCTATTGAAATAGGGATACTCATAGAAATGTCAAGAATTTGCATTATTTTTGAAACATGCCTCCACTTGCACCAAATATTTATTAGAACAGTGGCCCCTTTGTCTTGCTTAATCATCAAAGCTGCCAATGAGTAATGACCCACTTAACTATTTGGATCCACTCATGAAATATTTGCATCCTATCCCCCCCCAAAGAAAAGAAGAAAAAAAATCACTAGTTATTTCTTTTAATTAATGGTAAATTTCGCATTTCCTTTATGAGTAAATTGAGAATGTTTAGAACTTATTCTCAAGCGCCGGAAATGTGGGCCATGATGATGCTTCCAAATTTGTTGTTACATGAAGTTTTCCTTTCTCAATTCTCATTCATTTGAGACACTTGCGTTTAGAAAAAGCTGATGTCCTGTTGTATTAGCTGTTCTTCATGCAAAATAAATGAGTGCTGATATGTGTACTGCTGTTCACAATTCAATGCTGTTTGGTACTTTATTGACTCTGTCTGCTTGTCCTGTATCGGCGTTTATTTCAGCTTGTCTCATTCTCCCCTTTCAAAAGAAAGGGTAAAAGTACAGAAAATCCCTCTATGATTTATAATCCTGTTAAGATTAAGAATTTGATGTTTTTGTTTCTTGTAAAATAATCATCAACCTTTTACAATGTAATCATCAATCTTCAATATGGGTGTAGGATAGTTGATATGTTCTACAACCATAGTTTTTTTTTTACGTCCGAGTTAACTTTGTAGGAATTGAAACATAAGCATCAAACTGTCACTTTTGAAATCGTGAGGGGATTTTCTCTTATCCGGCAAAGTTAAGAGGGACTTTCGATAATTTACGAAATAACGTCGGGTTATTTACTTCCAATGTGTGGCAGGTTGCAGAGCTCATAGTAGAAAGAGGATTGAAGGAGGGTATTTTCTTGGTGAGGTTGATTCTATGGTTGCTCGCGACAAGGCTAGGGACCCTCCTCCTGTGTGGGTCCCTCAGCCTCAGAAGAGGGTTCCCATTCATCTACAACTTCTCAGGGATGACGCTGGAGAAGAGAGAAGAGGCTCTCAAGAGATGGAGCAGGGAAAAGTCTTTTGTATTCTTAAGGCTGGCATTTGCCATGCTCAAGATCTTCTGCTACTTTGTCTTCTACTCGACGGTAACTTTTAACTCTCCCTGTTTTACTTGAGTTAAATAATTTTAATTTTTAGTGCATGTTCTAGAAATGCATGAACTTTGTTTTATTCGGGTTAATTGCACATAAACGCCATGTACTTTAATTGTTGCAGATAAGACCCCCCCAGGTTTTGTGTTTTGACTCCTTTACCATTGGTGAAATACTTGTTGGCGATGGACTATAGATTGAACTAAAGACTTTCTCCATTCTTGACACTAGCATTGTGTCCTAATCCTGCAAATAAATATTTCCACTTACAAGGTTTTCCACGGTAACAAGTGGCCATTTTGTCACTTTATATTGAAATAATATTATCCTAATTGCTATTCTAAATTGCCAGTTCTATCCTTGCCATATGTCCTACTGATAAGCAAAACAACTAAAGAAACACATCGACTCTAAATTTGTTGTGGCCTATGTTACCTTTGGGAACAATAAATTAACTGGCTGATAACCAACCTGATGTAGACTTTTTGACTATCATGTGGGTTTGTTCCACAGATTTCTAAGCTAAAGAATCATAAATAGATAATAGAGCATTGCGTCGCATGTCATCTTATGAAATAGATTCGATACCTGTTGACATGTAATTACGCCAGAATAGTTGAGCTTAACAGCTCCTCTGCTCTTGACAGTAATACGGCATCCGAATCTTGATAACCAAATAATTAAGAAGGTACATGTCTTGTAGATTTTTCGACTATCATGTGGGCTTGTTCTCCGTATTTCTAAAGCTTAAAAATCACAATAGATAATAGAGCATTGTGTGTGAGTATGTCATCTTACTGAATAAGATTGGATACCTGTTAAAACATAATTATGCTTAGAATAGTTGAGGTTACCAACTCCTCTACTCCCGACAGCAATACGGCGTCCAAATCTTGCTAACCAAATAAGAACCACTAATTTTGGTCTTGGATGTCACCAACCTCAGTATTAATTTGTTAGTCAAAGTTCTGTTTGTCTTGATCGTAATGCGTAACGTAAAATGGTTTATTTTGTTAGAACAGAAGCGTCTATATTGACTGGCGTGTAAAACGAGAGAAGTAGGAGCATCTTGACTTAATTGTTAGTCTAACTAAGTACTTCGTATCATCTCTATCATACACCATACATAGTGGGCTATTGAGTAATTAAGCGTTTACAGTTAAATGTTTTCATTGTCTAGCCAAGGTTATGATGTAGATTGGCATGGACCTATGTTGTTGACAATTATTAATACAGCTAGATGTAAGGTGTTGGTTTGATTTCTGTTGGTTTGTACATATAGTTAGGTACAGACAGAAAAGGGTTAATTTCACAAAACCCCCTGAACTTTGTGGGATTTTACATGCAAACCCCTGACTCTTTTTTATCTCACATAACCGCCCTGAACTTCATGGGTGGTTTTATTAAGACACCCAACAGTCCGGCGGGTGGGTG